AGTTTCTCACACTAGAGAAACTATTTGGTATTTACACATGTGTCCTATTTATTTCACTTAAGAGTATGGCCTTGATATGCATCCATTTAGCTATAAATGACTCTAGTTTTTTGTTCTTTATGGCTGAGTAGTACTCCATTTTATAAACAAACCACATTTTCTTTATCCAGTTTCCAGTTGATGGGCACTTGGGCTGTTTCCAAGCTTTAGCTATAACAAACTGTGCCGCTATGAACATGGGCGCACATATATCGCTGTGGTATGATTCTTTTAATTCTTTGGGGAAGATCCCCAGTAGGGGAATAGCTGGGTCAAATGGGACTTCCGGCCCTAGTTCTTTGAGGTATCTCCATACTGATTTCCACAGTGGTTGCACCAGTCTGCACTCCACCAACAATGGAGAAGGGTTCCTATCTCCCCACACCCCACCAGCATTTGTTATTGGTTGATTTCTTGATAGCCATTCTTTCTGGGGTGAGGTGGAATCTCAGTGTTGTTTTCACCTGCATCTCTCGAATGACCAGTGATGTTGAACATTTTTTCATATCTTTATTTGCTGCTTTTACTTGTTTGTCTGAGAAATGTCTGTTCATTTCAGGTGCCCATTTTTAAATTGGGTCTTTGAATTTGGGGGGGGGTCTGATTTTTTTCAGTTCTTTATATATTCTAGATAGTAGTCCTTTGAGGTACAGCTGCTAAAAATTTTTTCCCACACTGTAGGCTGTCTGTTAGCTCTGGTGGTTTCTCTCGCAGTGCAGAAGCTTTTTAATAAGATGAGATCCTAGTTGTTGATTCTTTCTGCTAGTTCCCGTGCTGCTGATACAGCATTAGTTTTAAATTTTATTTATTTATTTAATTTATTTTTTTTGGTACCAGGGATCAAACTCAGGGCCTTGCGCTTGCGAGGCAGGCGTGGTACCACACTATGTTTTATTTTGAGACAGGGTCTCACTGAGTTGCCCAGGCTGGGATCAAACTTGTCACTCTCTTGCCTCAGCCTGGGATTATAGGTGTGTACCACCATGCCTGGCTCAGAATAACTATGTTTGGTATGGAGGGTCGAACTCCGATCCTTGTACTTTCTAGGTAGGCAGCGGAACCACTGAGCTAAATCCCCAGCCCAGAATAACATTTTTTAAAACAATTTTTATTTTATTGGTACATTTTAGGTATACAATATAATGACATGCATCATTGGAAATTTACACCTTTACATAATCTTTCTTGGTTCTTATTTTTCCCCCTTCCCCTGCCCTCCCTTCAACCCACCATCCCTCCCTATCTACAAAGACTTTGTTTCCATTTTTTCATATTCTCATATTAATTCCACTCCCTTCTTTCCTT